TGATATCAACATCTAATTATAGCATAATAAATTAAATAGAGTGAACCTCACTATCTTACATCGGTTAAGTATAGATTACATAGACAGGTAGCTATTGAATTGTGTGAAATTAACTTACTTGTTTGTTATATTTTCTATTAGATGGTGCACCACATAGCAATGATGACATGGTGTTACATATTACATTGAATATTTTTCACTTTTCACATTACACCCTCAAGACCTCAATGTATTAAAAGTTTTATAATGTGGCCATTTTGTTAATTTTTATTACTCATTCTGTCAATGTCAAACTGGAGTAATTTTTTATGAAATGAGCACAGGAAAACTAATAGAAGGGTAACATTTNCTTTTCACATTACACCCTCAAGACCTCAATGTATTAAAAGTTTTATAATGTGGTCATTTTGTTAATTTTTATTACTCATTCTGTCAATGTCAAACTGGAGTAATTTTTTATGAAATGAGCACAGGAAAACTAATAGAAGGGTAACATTTTAACACTTTTAATATGTTAAATGTATAATATAAAAAATTAGGTCATGTTTGATTTGCATTCCAGAAACTGTTTTCTAGTTTCAAAAACAATTTCTGAGAGAAAAGATGTTTTGCTATTTATTTTTTGTTTTTTGTTTTTACTTTTTAAAAATTGAGAACAAACACTAGATAGATTTAAAAAACAAGTTAGAGTTGTATTTATTTAATTTTGGAAACAAGCTTTCCAAAATTTAGAAACACTACTAACANCAAAAACAATTTCTGAGAGAAAAGATGTTTTGCTATTTATTTTTTGTTTTTCATTTTTACTTTTTAAAAATTGAGAACAAACACTAGATAGATTTAAAAAACAAGTTAGAATTGTATTTATTTAATTTTGGAAACAAGCTTTCCAAAATTTAGAAACACTACTAACACCACCATACTTCCACCACCACCAACACGTCCATCACACTTCCACCACCACCAACACTTCCACGACCAGGGGCGGAGTACATGTAGTGGTGTGGGGGCAACAGCCTCCACTGACTTTTGAAGGGTTAATTATATAAATTGTTATGACAACAAATTTATGTTCAATATATCTCATTGCTCCTCCTAAAAGTTTTGAAAATTTAAATAGTGGCCCTAGTTTTTTGTTTTCAATAAGTTAGTGGTTCACTTGNTGTTCAATATATCTCATTGCTCCTCCTAAAAGTTTTGAAAATTTAAATAGTGGCCCTAGTTTTTTGTTTTCAATAAGTTAGTGGTTCACTTGTTGATCACATGTGCTCCTAATCTACTAGAACAAGTGTTTTTGTTATTAAAATTAGTAAAACAGGTGTGTGATTCTTTAACTCATTATTTATANTAATATTATTGTGCGTGATGACTTTTGCACAATAGATGAAATGGAAACAGATCTCTCCCTTAGTAAACTCGTGTTTATTGAGAAGGTGATGGATCCCGCAGCGAGGAACAAGTTGAGAGAGCCAAATGGGGCCTAAGGAGTGGTAATAAATTGCTCCAAAGGCTACTTGATTGATTCAGGCGAGTTACGGGCAGTTCCTGTCACATAGAAAAGGGGTTAGAAGGGGCGCCAGAATGTTTTTCAATGTATCCCCTCCGACGATCAAATCAAATTTTTGAGAGAAAAGAACAAAAAAGCACTATATAGTTCTTGAGATATATTTTTGCATACCTTTACTTCACATTTTAGGGAACTATTTATACCTCTAGAGGCTCATCATTACTAATGACCTAGTCAGTAGATAGTACTCAGACATAGGGCAGTGTGTCCCCTATTTTGCATGGGGAGAAACCCCATTATTAATTGCTCAGGCTCCCGAGTATTTAATGTTCTCTCTTCTATGTAAAGGCCTTAAATGTTCGAAACTCAGGGCATTAAATACTCCATATTCTCGGCTTCCCAAGCTACTGCAGATGTCCCATCACTAAGGATTCATTAAATACTTGCCTGGGACTGCCGTAAGTTAACAAGGGTAATTTTGTTTATTTACCCCTCATCCTGCACTTTATGTCACACGTCTGACTCTCCCTGGTTAAGTGTCCAGCTCGTCCTGTTATCCTGACTTCATTATACAGAGTGTTCTCATGATTCCGAGTCTAATTCAAAGTTTCAGTGAGTACCCTCGGATCCGAGGACACATGTCTATCATAAAGAGGGGCAACACCCTGACGCCAAGCACAAGTACTTATGACACACACCTTCAGAGCCGAGAAAACGTGTCTTTCCCAGAGCAAAGACATGCTATCAATGCCGAGGACACGTCTCTTCATTAGAATAAAAGTATTCCCTCGACGCCGAGGACAAGTGCTGCCATCTATTCCTTTCCCATAAGTATCCCATCAATTATTGTATAATAACATACGAATAGATACAAATAATAAGTTATGCACTTCTAAAAATTTCAATTTCTCAACAAGATTTAAAAATAATTACAAATTTTATTATAAAATTGATTAATTATAGACATTCTTGAGATTTAAAATAACATAGCTCTTCTACAAATATTAAATTCTGAACAAGGTTAAAAGAAAATTACTTAGAAGTTTATTGTAGAATTAATTAGTTATAGGCAATTTTTGAGATTTTAAACAATATCATTGTTTTTCTCTTTAATATATGATTGAGTTGAATTTTGCCACTAAAAAANAGAAAATTACTTAGAAGTTTATTGTAGAATTAATTAGTTATAGGCAATTTTTGAGATTTTAAACAATATCATTGTTTTTCTCTTTAATATATGATTGAGTTGAATTTTGCCACTAAAAAAATTATTGTTCTTATTTGTTCATATTTTGTTAAATGCTAAATTNTTTAGTTTCTGTATTGAGTAAATCAATAATATAAATTATGATTATAACCAGTTTTCGCAAAATAAAATGAATAATGATTTTGTCACTGATAATGTGGTTTTGTACATTGAAGAGAATTATTAAAAACTTAGTTTATTATCAATACACTATAGACGAATTTTGAGATTTGAAATTACATTGTATTTTACTTTAGTATGTGATTGAGTTGAAAAATAATACCATATGTTATTTTATGGTTTGTTGTTCATGTTTTCTTTAAGTTAAATAGAAACTGATTTTATTGTTTTAATAGTAATGTANTTTATGGTTTGTTGTTCATGTTTTCTTTAAGTTAAATAGAAACTGATTTTATTGTTTTAATAGTAATGTAGTGTTGAATCCTAAAATATTTTTTTATGCTTGAAAATATTTTGTATAAATTGGTTAATTTTTTTTTTCTATAATAATTTGTCTCTCTAATGCGAAATCCTAACTCCGCCCTTGTCCACTACACTTCCATCACCACCATGTCCACCACACCAACCATTAGAATATTTTTGTTTTCATTGTTTTATGAGTTACAGTTTAAACGAATTTTACTGTTTTTTATTATGTAAAACTGTTTTTGAAATCATATAATCAAACAAGTTCTGCGACACAAAAAATACCAAAAATATTTTTCTAAAACTCTTTTAAAAAATAATTTTTGGATACTATTTTTCAAAACGTAAACCAAACAAGGCCTTAATCTCTAAAGGTATAAAGCAAAAATTCTTAGAATCATTTGGGGTGCAAAATGTGATTTCCCCAATAAGTCCCGATACCCCCTTCTCAGTTGGTGGATCGACCTCATGAGTATCCACCATAGTTCATGATTATTTTACATCTCAAATTATATATGTGCCTCTTTACTGTCTCCTTAATTTCTGGTGCACTCAAATGGGAATATCCGCTGGCATCATACCGCCAGCTTAGAATAATTATATTTTTATACCAGATACATCACTCCAATTACAGAATGAACCATCATTTTATGAACAGTCTCAAAATTCTAATGACAACATTAGTTGATTAGTTGATTCATCAAGTAAGATTCACTCACTTACAAGCTGATTAACGATCAAGATTGATAGTTCACACCAACCCACATGCTCTATAGTGTTACAAATTACATCTCATATATATTTTTTTTATGTTCGAGAATTGTTAGAGTCAAATAATCGGACTCATGACTATAACACAAATTACGAGTAACCATTCTCAAATCCAGCATATCTCTAAAGTTAGAACTTGAAATTTCAATAGTCTCTAAGGTTGATAATTGAATTGAGTTATTTGGACTCGGTTCAAAAAAGACTCAACTCACAGTCAACTAATATTCTAAACGAGCTGAATTTGAGCTCGATGCATATTTTCGTGTCGAACTCACAAATTTCAGCTCTAACNACTAATATTCTAAACGAGTTGAATTTGAGCTCGATGCATATTTTCGTGTCGAACTCACAAATTTCAGCTCTAACTTAATTCATTTTTTAAACTAGTCATCAACTCGATGAATTGTTCGATTATTGACCCTAATTGTGACTATATTCTGTGAAGTACCTGACAGTTTATATCTTATACTTTAACTGCAACAAGTGTAACGGCATTGGCTTGTGGCATTCAAATGTGTAAGGTTTTTGTTTAGAAACTCTGATGGGGCTTTTGTCGTCCTCGCAACTCCCAACAAACACACTCTCTGTATATCTGGTTCTCTGTGGTTTTTTTGTCCCCAAGCTGTTCAATTTCTGGGACATTGTAATTTGTAAGAGATGACTCAAACCCCAACCCGGTCATTGGGCCTCTCACCCCACCCAAGCACATTTCAAATTTGAACGCCGATTTTTACTCTCTTTTGAGTCCCCATGCTCTCACTCTTACTCTACTTCGCGCCCGCGTCTCTCTGGCTCCCTTTGACTACCTCGGCGTCACCAAAACCCCCATTTGACCGCCACTCATTTGGCTCCATTTAAACCAAAGCTTCTTCGCTCAGACGTTTCACCAAACACCTTCCATCTATTCACCTAATGATGACCGAACCTATCAGCAATAGTGTCAATGGTGACACCAAGTCTTTGGTTGTCAGCTTTGATGACCTTAGCATCAGTAACAGTCCAAGTACAGACATTTGTAGTAGTACTGTTACTGGGTCTGATAGTACTAGTATGAGTAAGATGAGTGGTGGTGGTTTTGAGGGGAAAGGACTGCATTTATTGAATGTTGGAGTGAACAAAGATGACGAATGTGAGGACTGTGTTGAAAGTGGGAAGAGTAGTTTGAGTTCGGCTAGTTATTGTAATAGCATGGACGCCAATGAGACTAGTTTTAGAAGCTTTTGTCCTTCAAAACCCCATAAAGGTAACGATATACGGTGGGATGCGATACAGTCTGTGAAGGGTAAAGATGGGGGCTTGGGATTAGGCCATTTTAGGCTTTTGAAGAAATTGGGTTTTGGCGATATAGGAAGTGTCTATTTGGCGGAGTTGAGAGGGGCAGGTTGTTTGTTTGCTATGAAAGTGATGGATAAAGGGTTGTTAGCTGGGAGAAAGAAATTGATGAGAGCAAAGACTGAAAGGGAAATCTTGGGTTTGTTGGATCATCCATTTTTGCCTTCTCTGTACTCACATTTTGAGACGGAGAAGTTTTCGTGTTTGCTTATGGAGTTTTGCAGTGGTGGGGATCTTCATTTGCTAAGGCAGCGACGGCCGGGGAAGCATTTCTCTGAACAAGCAGCCAGGTCCGTTCTTAATTTTGATGTTACAGTGTCGTTTTGTTATGTTGGTTTGTTTATTGCATATTTGATATGCATTCACAATTAACCATGTACTCAATAGTTTGTGGGGATAAAGAAATGTTTGAAAATATGGGGAACAATCAAGTGCTTTCTGCAGTATGTATCAAGATTTTTGAAAATAAAATTCTGAACAAGTGTAAGACAGTGACCTAGTGAAATCAAGTAATATTGATGTTCACTTCCTCATTAGACACTGGAAAACAAGGTAATTGGTCAGAAACTGTTTTGAAAAGTACTCCTTTTCTTGGGTATTGTTTGTTGGGAGCTGGTGGGGGGAAGGGGATGGGTGTTGGTTTAACAATTGCATACCAAACCCTCAGCAAATCCTTCATTCAATTAATTTATCTAAGTTGCTTGATGATAATGAAAGTCCATGTAATCTTATTGTACTGGGTATGTCCTTCCATAAGAGTTGCAATCTTTGTTTTTAGAATGTGATAGAACACATAGACTGTCTGGCTATTTGTTACAATATTTATGTTGAGTTTCTTAAATCCTGAGAAGAAATGTACCCGAGTAAATCACCCTGAAATGCATTTTAATTACATTTTTTTTTTTTTTTTTTGAAAATGCATAGTATCGTTTAGGCTCTGGTTTCTCATTATAAATGTTGACCAAGCTATTTTGAACTCTCAATTAGCTTTATTGACACTGCTGTTCTTTCTGGGATATAGGTTCTATGCTTCAGAAGTGCTTCTTGCCTTAGAGTATCTCCACATGATGGGTGTGATCTATAGAGACTTAAAGCCTGAAAATGTTTTGGTGAGAGAAGATGGTCATATTATGCTATCCGATTTTGATTTATCATTAAGATGTTATGTGAGTCCCACCTTGGTTAAGTCTAGTAATGAGCCAGCTTGCACGATCTCTTCGTATTGTGTCCAGCCGTCGTGCATTGAACCCACATGCAAACTACCCGTTTGTGTAGAGCATTCTTGCTTCCAACCCTCTTGCTTTAAGCCTCAGCTTTTCAATTCCAAACTACCTAAGGCAAGGAGTGAACAAGCAACTTTGGGAAATTCAGATTCGCTTCCTGTGCTTATTGCAGAGCCAACTGCTGCACGATCCATGTCATTTGTTGGAACACATGAATATTTAGCCCCTGAAATGATCAGAGGAGATGGTCATGGGAGTGCTGTTGATTGGTGGACATTTGGTATTTTCTTGTATGAGTTGCTCCATGGGAGGACACCATTCAAAGGCAATGGAAACCGAGAGACATTATTCAACGTTGTTGGGCAGTCTCTGAAATTTCCAGAAGGATCCACAATTAGTTTTGCTGCAAAGGATTTGATCCGGGGTCTGTTAGTAAAGGATCCACAGAAAAGATTAGGGTACAAAAGAGGTGCCACCGAAATAAAACAGCATCCCTTCTTTGCAAGTGTTAATTGGCCTCTCATTCGTAGTACTAATCCTCCAGAGATTCCTAAACCAGTTGATCTTGCATTCTTTAATCAAACATTCAAGTCATTCTTGCCTCCAAATGATAAGGGAGCTTCTGACTCAGATCGGTCATCAGGTCCTTATTTAGATTTTGAATTTTTCTAATAAACTTTGACGGGAGAAGTTGTAGTGGTCATTCTTGAAGCAGGTAGATGTTCATTACTGATTTGTATTCCTATCCTGAATGAAATTTTGCTTGCCCTTTAGGTCTGTTCTTCCTTTTCTTTGTTGCCATCAAATTTTATTTGTGGGCTTTATGTTCTCTAATCTACTTCTAAACACTAGTTGGCAAATTCTTAGCACATTGAACTTATGTTGATAAATGTCTGAACCAATTTCCATCCTACCATCTTTTTCTATTATTTATTCTGTTGCTATTGAACTTTCTAATTTATTTCCAAGACCACTTTTGTTTATATAAAAGTGTTTTCAGAAAACACTTTTGTTAAAAAATTTAAAAGCATTTGGTTTTACATCAAAGAGTTTGAATTTAACTCAATTTCACAGAAACAATAGTAATGTAGGAAATAAGTTAGAATATAGGGGCAATAATGTTTGAAAATCAAGATAATTTGCAAAAAAAAAAAAAAAAAAGACTTTTGTTGTTATTTGTTATTTCTTTCTGTTAGATGTTCATGAATCTTTGGTAGTGGGAGATTCTTTTGGAGGCCTCTACTGTGCTTTTAATCCCTTTTGAAAAACACCCTTAGATAAACTTTTTGTCTAGAATCTGGATGGCCCCCATTAAGCTTTACCTGTAGATGAGAGAAAGAGAATTTGATATGGACAAATCATAGTAAAGGCCATGAACAAATAAGCCTGATACTGATGTGACAATGAACTTTGTATCTTATATTTGCTTTCTTAAGGATTCTGCTTCCCTCAATTGCTTCAACTTTCAACTGATGTTTTATTCTCCTGCGTTCACAGGCTTTTTGTAAAGGTTATGTTTTCACCTCATACAGTATATTCTTTCCGGTTGTTAGATAGTTGTTCCTAGACCAACTTTCTGATCCGTTTCTGTAAGGTGCTTCCTTTGGCAATCTCTTCAGCAGGATATAAGGTTAATAGTCAAACGAGTTCAAGTAGAGCNTAAAACAGCATCCCTTCTTTGCAAGTGTTAATTGGCCTCTCATTCGTAGTACTAATCCTCCAGAGATTCCTAAACCAGTTGATCTTGCATTCTTTAATCAAACATTCAAGTCATCCTTGCCTCCAAATGATAAGGGAGCTTCTGACTCAGATCGGTCATCAGGTCCTTATTTAGATTTTGAATTTTTCTAATAAACTTTGACGGGAGAAGTTGTAGTGGTCATTCTTGAAGCAGGTAGATGTTCATTACTGATTTGTATTCCTATCCTGAATGAAATTTTGCTTGCCCTTTAGGTCTGTTCTTCCTTTTCTTTGTTGCCATCAAATTTTATTTGTGGGCTTTATGTTCTCTAATCTACTTCTAAACACTAGTTGGCAAATTCTTAGCACATTGAACTTATGTTGATAAATGTCTGAACCAATTTCCATCCTACCATCTTTTTCTATTATTTATTCTGTTGCTATTGAACTTTCTAATTTATTTCCAAGACCACTTTTGTTTATATAAAAGTGTTTTCAGAAAACACTTTTGTTAAAAAATTTAAAAGCATTTGGTTTTACATCAAAGAGTTTGAATTTAACTCAATTTCACAGAAACAATAGTAATGTAGGAAATAAGTTAGAATATAGGGGCAATAATGTTTGAAAATCAAGATAATTTGCAAAAAAAAAAAAAAAGGAGACTTTTGTTGTTATTTGTTATTTCTTTCTGTTAGATGTTCATGAATCTTTGGTAGTGGGAGATTCTTTTGGAGGCCTCTACTGTGCTTTTAATCCCTTTTGAAAAACACCCTTAGATAAACTTTTTGTCTAGAATCTGGATGGCCCCCATTAAGCTTTACCTGTAGATGAAGAGAAAGAGAATTTGATATGGACAAATCATAGTAAAGGCCATGAACAAATAAGCCTGATACTGATGTGACAATGAACTTTGTATCTTATATTTGCTTTCTTAAGGATTCTGCTTCCCTCAATTGCTTCAACTTTCAACTGATGTTTTATTCTCCTGCGTTCACAGGCTTTTTGTAAAGGTTATGTTTTCACCTCATGCAGTATATTCTTTCCGGTTGTTAGATAGTTGTTCCTAGACCAACTTTCTGATCCGTTTCTGTAAGGTGCTTCCTTTGGCAATCTCTTCAGCAGGATATAAGGTTAATAGTCAAACGAGTTCAAGTAGAGCCTAAAAAATTTGTTTTTTTCATTAAGTCTAAAAAATTATTTAAGTTTAGCTCGTTTAGAAAATAAGTCAAGTTTGAAAGAGCCAAACCCGAACTGTGACCCGAGTATTTACACATAAACGAGTTGCGTCTGTCGAGTTCGAGTCGAGCCTGTCGGACTCGTTTTTCAAACGAACCTAAAAAATTGTTCAAATTTAGTTCGTTTAAAAAATGAATTAAGTTTGAATGAGCCAAACACGAGTCGAACCCAAATTAAACTTGAGTAGCTTAGTTTGCTGAATAACCCTAACTGCATACTAAAATCAAACTTAGCAACTGAAATTCAAAATCCCTTTGAAATTGGTGATTACAGTTGAAGCACATATAGGAAGATGTGCAGCACATGGCCTCAATTAGAGATGAGAAATCTTAACTCATTATTCGTTATCCTATTTAATTCGTCCATAAATAATTGGATTGAATACCTATGGTAATTAATTTTGGTTCTAATTTGATTGAATAATATGATTCATTTTAATTAAGTCTGTTAAGAGGGATTACAAATAAGTACCCATGGGGTTGAATATTTATCTTTTTATTAAATAAAACAAATAATAAAATCAAATAAATATATTGATATATCAAAAAATATACACTAGTATACCAATAAATATACAAATTAGTACACCAAAAATACACATTAATACACCCGTCCCATGACCCATGAACCCAATGGCCCATGGCCGTGAACCCACTCATGGCCCATGGATTGAGCCGAATCATTATGTGTGTATTTTGGTGAATAATGTATGTTTGTGTATTTTGGTTTTTTATTAAATGTGTTTGTGTTTTTTGTGTGTGTATTTTTAATGTATTAGTATGTGTGCATTTTTGGTGTATTAGTATGTGTTCATATTAAGAGTTTTAATTATTCTACGGGTTAATTATTGTAGGTGGAGAGTTAAAAGAGGTTAACACACATGTCTATACCAAGGGTAATCGAAGAGGGTGAATAGGATAAGTGGATGAGATGGAAGGAACTCAAGCAACCTGTTAACGAAAGGATGAACCAGTTAGACAGAGGGTAGGTGAAAAATGCTATCACCAGCCAAAAAATCATCCTCCATAGTAGGCAAGTAATGTGGGCATTTATAGCATAGTGTCTAGGCAGGTTGGGCTGCCCGTCGCAACCCCCTATCACTCGTACGAACCCATAACCACCTCGACTGTGACGATACCAGTGGCCATTAACGCGAGTCATGCGTCCCAACATTAACTATGCAGATTTAATGTTTCCCCAAGCGCAATCTGGACGTGGCCTTGAAGAAAGTGTAACAGCCAAGGCGAGAGCGGGCTCTTAAGGTCCACGACCGTGACTGGTCACCATGGGACCATGACCTCGAGAGGGCCATTTCAGCGATGCTCCCAGCGCACTCCTACCTAGGGTTCTTTTTTCCCTATCTAGACCCTTCCTCGAGACCTTTGTCGAGGTGCCCAATAGAGGCTAGGAAACTCACATAGTTTCGGTCCTTCAGCCACCAACTCACATGTCTCATCATCTCATATACTGATCTGGGCCAATAACTCCAATTACCTTAGGAGTCTCTCCGGATCCCAGTCAAGCACATCTCAGTAGGCAATGAGTCATACATTGGGAGGTCTGCTCCAACAGACTAAACCTTCAAGACCCTGTCCCATACCGAGGTTNCCCATATACTGATCTGGGCCAATAACTCCAATTACCTTAGGAGTCTCTCCGGATCCCAGTCAAGCACATCTTTGTAGGCAATGAGTCATACATTGGGAGGTCTGCTCCAACAGACTAAACCTTCAAGACCCTGTCCCATACCGAGGTTGACAATCGTGCTCATCCGCCCCTATTGCTCAATTCTCCCTTGAGAAGGGTCATATTCCCCTGTCTCTAGGTAGGGACACCCCTTAGTCTAATAGGTCAGTCAAACAACGACATTCAATAGATTGAGAAAACCATTCCCGCAGTGGGGGAGGCGAGTCTTGCCGATATTGCCCCCACACTTCTGCGATACCATTCCAGCAAAGGGGCGTCGTGCCTGAGATGTCGCGTCAAAGTTGTATCATATTTCTGCGATTCCACTTCTGTCCAACCTTGGTGAAAGGTTCATTTTGTCACTTCCAATGCGATGAAAATGCATCTCGCCCTGATGCAGTATTGTGCTTGAGAACCTCGCGCCCAAGGGCGTCGTGCTTGTCACTGTTATCTATATCAGTCCAGTTGAACTCTGTCGAGCGTCATTTCCATATCAATTGATAATTGTTATCACTTGTCTTGTTATGGTAAAGACATGTGTCTTCAAGTTGAGTACTACAATTATGATCCAACCCATTAGAAGTTTTTTATTAAACATGTTGAAAATAGATTGAATTTATTTTGCACCCAACTCATATTTAACCAACTCAATTTGTCCATTTGTCACATCTACCGTCAAGGGTTAAGAGTTGTTAAAATAATCTCTTGGTTACGTGAACTTCCCCAAACACTATAGTAGCGAAAATATCGTGCACTTAATTGTCCATAGCTTAAATAAACAAAATATCAAGCATTGTTTACGAATGGTTTTTTATATTTCTTAGATAATCTAAATCCCAGGGATCTTCTTATGGTAAATGCCGCCTGAAACATGACCCAACAAACTCGCTGTCTATCAGGTCTTTCATATAAATTCTTAATTCTGAAGTCATCTTCAGAGAGTTANTATACCGTCAAGGGTTAAGAGTTGTTAAAATAATCTCTTGGTTACGTGAACTTCCCCAAACACCATAGTAGCGAAAATATCGTGCACTTAATTGTCCATAGCTTAAATAAACAAAATATCAAGCATTGTTTGCGAATGGTTTTTTATATTTCTTAGATAATCTAAATCCCAGGGATCTTCTTATTGTAAATGCCGCCTGAAACATGACCCAACAAACTCGTTGTCTATCAGGTCTTTCATATAAATTCTTAATTCTGAAGTCATCTTCAGAGAGTTAAAGGCATGTAGGTCATCATTCTCTTGGATACAACTCCTCCAAATCTCAGCTGGTCCCTTTCATTGATGGAGTGTGGTAGAAACAAGAAGGTTTAATATAAGCCCAATGGTGAAGAAAACTAGTGCACTCTCACCTTGATGATAACAGTATTAANAATATTAATCAAACTTTTGCAAATGAAATTCAATAAATTGAAGAAGTACAAGAAAGTACATCCAATACAAGGAAGGTATAGGACAAACACTGGCGGACTGGACGAAGATGATGGAAGGAATGTGTGACATTGTGATAGACTGTGATAGTATTGGCGGGGCAATATAGAAAGCCATGCAAGATAATCGAGATAAATGATTATTGAACCAAATGGTAATAGTAATAAGTCGTAAATTGTGACGTTTTGAGTTTAAATTTTAATAATTTTTTGTGGACTCTATTAAATATTAGAATATGATGTTAAATCAACAATAACAATAAAATCATATCATTAGACCAACAGATTAAATCATATTTTTAAGTCTCAATAATATTATTCATTTATTAACAACTAAACTTTTTGGTGAAATTATATACATCGTTAAATTTTATAACTAGACGCATATGAAATTTCAGTCGTATGGCTTTAATGAGCATTTGCTTTGATAACATGCTAAGAGGAGTTTCTTTAAGTTTTATTTTTTTTTTATTTTGGTTTAACGGTCACGTGTGTTTGAGTCAGTTTACGCATATCTTGATTACTCTCCTCTTTGATTTGATTAAATACAGATCATTTACGATGAAATTAAGGTATTAATAAGAGATAAATTTTTCATGATCTGATTCTAAGAGGTTATTAAGATTCAAATTCAAGACGTCTGAATTTTTAACTCGTCTTTATCATTTGAACTACCCCATGGGGTTAAGTTTTTTTAAGCTCACAAGAGTAATGCTATTGGTATATAAAAAATAANTGCAGATCATTTACGATGAAATTAAGGTATTAATAAGAGATAAATTTTTCATGATCTGATTCTAAGAGGTTATTAAGATTCGAATTCAAGACGTCTGAATTTTTAACTCGACTTTATCATTTGAACTACCCCTTGGGGTTAAGTTTTTTTAAGCTCACAAGAGTAATGCTATTGGTATATAAAAAATAATTTAATTTATTGATATAATGATGTGTCGAGTAATAAAATTTCAATGAAAAAATTCAATCATTATAATTGAATAATATTATTTAATATAATTTATTAATTTAATTCATTTTTGGACAAGGGCATGCACGTATAACACACAATTCATCGTAATAATTGAATTGATAAAGGTTCTACTAAATATTAAAATTCACTAAAAAAACAAATTACCGTTATTTACCCAAATGAAAAAAAGAAAATGACATTCATCGNATAAGGGCATGCACGTATAACACACAATTCATCGTAATAATTGAATTGATAAAGGTTCTACTAAATATTAAAATTCACTAAAAAAAACAAATTACCGTTATTTACCCAAATGAAAAAAAGAAAATGACATTCATCGGCGATCCCGAAGAGAGAGGAGACCAAATCATTTTGGAGATCACGGCGCCCCTTGTTCTCATAAGCCAAAAGCCTTGTCGCTATGCTAACCAACTTATTAACTATCAACTATATAACACTAAGAACCACCATTACTGTAAGCGACACCTCAATTAGAAGCTAGCTAGAACGCACCCACCAATGGCGGAACCAACTGATCATTNCCATGCTAACCTTATAACTCCTTCAGCTCTGTGTCTCAATATATATAACCAACTTATTAACTATCAACTATATAACACTAAGAACCACCATTACTGTAAGCGACACCTCAATTAGAAGCTAGCTAGAACGCACCCACCAATGGCGGAACCAACTGATCATTCTCCTTGTAAATTCCCAACCGTAGATCAATGTGAATCGAGCGGTCGAGAGAACCACACTGTAGTCGCCGACATGGATGGAACCTTGCTTATAGGCCGTAGTTCATTCCCTTACTTTGCTCTCGTTGCCTTTGAAGTTGGTGGAATTCTCAGGCTTCTGTTCTTGCTTTTAGCCTCTCCGGTTGCCGGACTTCTTTACTACTTCATCTCCGAGTCCGCCGGCATTCGTGTGCTCATCTTCGCGACTTTTTCCGGCATGAAAGTGTCGGATATCGAGTCGGTGGCTCGAGCTGTTTTGCCGAAGTTTTACTCCGGCGACTTGCACCCGGAGACGTGGCGGGTGTTCTCGTCGTGTGGGAAAAAGTGTGTGTTAACTGCTAATCCGAGGATTATGGTGGAAGCGCTTTTAAAGGATTATTTAGGTGCAGATATGGTGTTGGGGACAGAGATAGGTACTTATAAAGGTAGAGCCACTGGGTTTGTGACTGGTCCTGGAATACTTGTTGGGAAGAACAAGGCTGTGGCTCTCCACAAGGCATTTGGTGATTCATCAGCTCCAGAGATTGGACTTGGTGATAGGAAGACTGATTTTCCATTCATGAAGTTGTGTAAGGTTTGTTATGCAACGATCAATCATTTCAATTGAATTCTTTCTCACCGTGATTCAAAGTTTCCATTGATATAGAGTCAATTCAACTGAGTCAAATCTCAAATGTTACACATTCCGTGTAAACAAGGAGTCTCACTTTACATCACTTTTCATTATGAGATTAATAAACATTCCGAGAAAACAACTTGACTTGTATTAACTCGAAAACATCTCAAACTACCCAATCGACTCATCTAAATCTCTTTATGAATGTATGGCATATTGCTTGATACTATTTGACAATGTTGTGATATGTCTCTACTCCCTCGTTATTCTATCTTCTTATATATGTAATTTCGTAATCTCTCCTCATTATATCTTCTTTTATATGTAATTTCCTACTTTACAAATCGGCAATACCAACCAAAATACATCAATACCCACCGAGCAAATACTATGACATTCAAACAGCCTCATATGATGTACACCATCAATAAAAAATTGTACATGTCTGTCATCCATCGCTCTGTCAANAAAGTCTTTATTGGGACCTAAATGACATGACAACATATTATTTAGAGTTTTTATTAGAGCCCAATTTCATGGGACTAAATAAAAAAACTCAAATCAATTGTCATATCATTTGAACTTTTAATTTAATTTCAAAATTTAGTCAATATAATATTATTGTGACAGTAATATTGAGAGCCAACCAATGTTATCAATGTTTTCTGTCCCAAAAAAAATAGCTCGTACATGTTTTTCCTTCGTTCTTTGAATTTGGGCTTTATTTTGAGTTGGCCCAAAAAATTAATGACCTTCCATTCCAAGACTTGTTTGATTCTTCAATAATATGACCATTACGTGGCGATGCTGGGCAAGGGGTCCAGTGATTTTTATTGTTTTTTTGAGAAAAAAGACTTATAATTATTTGCCTTTTTTCATGTTAGGGTTTTCATATTTATATTATCATAGTATAGTAGTCCTCGAGTCATCATAAGTGGTCCCTTAATCTGTTAAGAATATTGGAGGAAAAATTGAGCCGTTAGAAATTATATTCTTCTAAACATGACGTGACCTTCTAGAAACATGTAACGTGACACTAATAATTTTATTCTTATTTGAGATATGAAGATGGGCGGTATTCTTCATCTCTCTTCTTATTGTGACCCAAGTTATTTTAATTTAATCGAGATTGTTTGAGAAACTGATGACTTGATTTCGACTTGTGTCTCAGCTGAAATGACTTGTCTTTTTTTATTATTGTTGAGCATAATCATATTTAAAAATGATTTTATTCTTGATAATATCAGCATCAAACACAATATAAATATGATATGATAAAATAGTATATTGATTATATTTTCGGTATGGATTAAATTAGAATTAAACATCCGATCTCATTGTACGTTACACCCGCACCAAACACCTTAAAGTAAAACAAGGCTCGATCAATCTCAGCCACGTATCTCAGTTCTTTTGTATGTGTTCAAAGTCAACAGTGCAGATCTGTTTATATGGATCTAGGCCCATCAAAAGTCCCAATAGCATCAAATGAACTCTATGTCTGGATCTGTGGCCCGAAATCATAACCTGGTTGAAGCCTTGAAGGTTTAAAGTGGTGCCCAAAAACAAACAAAAGTGTTGGTCGCTAAGTCCAACTTGTCACATCAAACTTTTAAGGACTGGCTTTAAGATCCTCAAAACTCAGAAACCAAACCAGCCTTTCGATACAAACAAAGGCTAGAAGAAGACAAAGTCAAAAATTTTGCATGGATTTCCTTTCCTTCCTCGGGTAATTTCATCAATCTTAACCTGGGGTATTTTAACCAAGTGGGTAGCTCAGTTGGCGAGAGCCTCTGATTTTTCAGTGAGAGGTCGAGAGTTCGAAGTTTTTTGAGCATAAAAGTGTTATTGTTTGGTAAGACAAAATATCAATTGTTTGGATGAATCGTATCAAAATTTTTTTTGTGGGTCTTGAATCCTTAGCGAAACATAAGTCTTGATTTAAATAGTATATGAGTTGATGGGTCAGTTCATATTTCGGACTTTATCCTTGATTTTATTCAGAGTTACGAGACTGAGCAACATAGGCACACTTCTACTCGCCGAGAACAAACCATGAAATTTCATTGTTTTCGAAAAAATTTCATCAATCTCAACCCCAAGTAACTTATTAGATACGAAACGTAAATTTAGATATTTTAAATTTAATATTTTTTTAAAGATTAAATTACTAGAGATAAATTGATATGTGNAAAAAAGACTTATAATTATTTGCCTTTTTTCATGTTAGGGTTTTCATATTTATATTATCATAGTATAGTAGTCCTCGAGTCATCATAAGTGGTCCCTTAATCTGTTAAGAATATTGGAGGAAAAATTGAGCCGTTAGAAATTATATTCTTCTAAACATGACGTGACCTTCTAGAAACATGTAACGTGACACTAATAATTTTATTCTTATTTGAGATATGAAGATGGGCGGTATTCTTCATCTCTCTTCTTATTGTGACCCAAGTTATTTTAATTTAATCGAGATTGTTTGAGAAACTGATGACTTGATTTCGACTTGTGTCTGAGCTGAAATGACTTGTCTTTTTTTATTATTGTTGAGCGTAATCATATTTAAAAATGATTTTATTATTGATAATATCAGCATCAAACACAATATAAATATGATATGATAAAATAGTATATTGATTATATTTTCGGTATGGATTAAATTAGAATTAAACATCCGATCTCATTGTACGTTACACCCGCACCAAACACCTTAAAGTAAAACAAGGCTCGATCAATCTCAGCCACGTATCTCAGTTCTTTTGTATGTGTTCAAAGTCAACAGTGCAGATCTGTTTATATGGATCTAGGCCCATCAAAAGTCCCAATAGCATCAAATGAACTCTATGTCTGGATCTGTGGCCCGAAATCATAACCTGGTTGAAGCCTTGAAGGTTTAAAGTGGTGCCCAAAAACAAACAAAAGTGTTGGTCGCTAAGTCCAACTTGTCACATCAAACTTTTAAGGACTGGCTTTAAGATCCTCAAAACTCAGAAACCAAACCAGCCTTTCGATACAAACAAAGGCTAGAAGAAGACAAAGTCAAAAATTTTGCATGGATTTCCTTTCCTTCCTCGGGTAATTTCATCAATCTTAACCTGGGGTATTTTAACCAAGTGGGTAGCTCAGTTGGCGAGAGCCTATGATTTTTCAGTGAGAGGTCGAGAGTTCGAAGTTTTTTGAGTATAAAAGTGTTATTGTTTGGTAAGACAAAATATCAATTGTTTGGATGAATCGTATCAAAATTTTTTGTGTGGGTCTTGAATCCTTAGCGAAACATAAGTCTTGATTTAAATAGTATATGAGTTGATGGGTCAGTTCATATTCCGGACTTTATCCTTGATTTTATTCAGAGTTACGAGACTGAGCAACATAGGCACACTTCTACTCGCCGAGAACAAACCATGAAATTTCACTGTTTTCGAAAAAATTTCATCAATCTCAACCCCAAGTAACTTATTAGATACGAAACGTAAATTTAGATATTTTAAATTTAATATTTTTTTAAAGATTAAATTACTAGAGATAAATTGATATGTGNAAGTGGTGCCCAAAAACAAACAAAAGTGTTGGTCTCTAAGTCCAACTTGTCACATCAAACTTTTAAGGACTGGCTTTAAGATCCTCAAAACTCAGAAACCAAACCAGCCTTTCGATACAAACAAAGGCTAGAAGAAGACAAAGTCAAAAATTTTGCATGGATTTCCTTTCCTTCCTCGGGTAATTTCATCAATCTTAACCTGGGGTATTTTAACCAAGTGGGTAGCTCAGTTGGCGAGAGCCTCTGATTTTTCAGTGAGAGGTCGAGAGTTCGAAGTTTTTTGAGCATAAAAGTGTTATTGTTTGGTAAGACAAAATATCAATTGTTTGGATGAATCGTATCAAAATTTTTTTTGTGGGTCTTGAATCCTTAGCGAAACATAAGTCTTGATTTAAATAGTATATGAGTTGATGGGTCAGTTCATATTTCGGACTTTATCCTTGATTTTATTCAGAGTTACGAGACTGAGCAACATAGGCACACNTAGGAAGACTGATTTTCCATTCATGAAGTTGTGTAAGGTTTGTTATGCAACGATCATTCATTTCAATTGAATTCTTTCNAAGGCATTTGGTGATTCATCAGCTCCAGAGATTGGACTTGGTGATAGGAAGACTGATTTTCCATTCATGAAGTTGTGTAAGGTTTGTTATGCAACGATCATTCATTTCAATTGAATTCTTTCTGATTCAAAGTTTCCATTGATATAGAGTCAATTCAACTGAGTCAAATCTCAAATGTTACACATTCCGTGTAAACAAGGAGTCTCATTTTACATCACTTTTCATTATGAGATTAATAAACATTCCGAGAAAACAACTTGACTTGAATTAACTCGAAAACATCTCAAACTACCCAATCGATTCATCTAAATCTCTTTATGAATGTATGGCATATTGCTTGATACTATTTGGCAATGTTGTGATATGTCTCTAATCCCTCGTTATTCTATCTTCTTATATATGTAATTTCGTAATCTCTCTTCATTATATCTTCTTTTATATGTAATTTCCTACTTTACAAATCGGCAATACCAACCAAAATACATCAATACCTACCGAGCAAATACTATGACATTCAAACAGCCTCATATGATGTACACCATCAATAANTACAAATCGGCAATACCAACCAAAATACATCAATACCCACCGAGCAAATACTATGACATTCAAACAGCCTCATATGATGTACACCATCAATAAAAAATTGTACATGTCTGTCATCCATCGCTCTGTCAATTATTTTTCGAAATAATTAACTTATGTGTTACACATGTGAGTGGTGTGTTAAACCCACCTTAACTTTTTTCCTTACATATTACATGCTAAATGAATTCTTTTTCTATGATTCTCATATTGTATCTCTTGTTAATGCAGGAGAGTTTCATAGTTCCAGCAAAGGCCCAAGTTGAACCCGTGAGCCAAGACAAGTTGCCAAAACCAATAGTCTTCCACGACGGCAGGCTTGTCCATAAACCAAGTCCTCCAACGGCACTTCTCACCATCCTCTGGATACCAGTAGGCTTCCTCCTAGCTTGTCTCCGAATCGCCGCCGGCGCACTCCTCCCGATGCCACTAGTCTACTACGCCTTTTGGGCCCTCGGCGTTCGAGTAACCATCAAAGGCACACCACCTCCTCCACCCAAACAATCCACTGGCCAAACCGGCGTCCTATTCGTTTGCTCTCACAGAACTCTCCTCGACCCAATTTTCCTCTCCACCGCCCTCGGCCGCCCTATCCCCGCCGTCACATATTCTCTCTCACGGCTCTCCGAGATCATCTCTCCGATCAAAACTGTCCGTTTAAATCGTGACCGTGTCAAAGATGCTGACATGATAAAGAAGCTCTTAGAACAAGGTGACCTAGTTATCTGCCCTGAAGGTACTACTTGCAGAGAACCATTTTTACTTAGATTTTCAGCTTTGTTTGCTGAGTTAACCGATCAACTTGTACCGGTGGCGATGAATAACCGAATGAGCATGTTTCATGGGACGACGGCGAGAGGGTGGAAGGGAATGGACCCTTTTTACTTCTTCATGAACCCTAGCCCTGCTTATGAAGTGACGTTTTTGAATAAGTTGCCGGAAAATCTAACCTGCAGTGCCGGAAAATCGAGCCATGATGTGGCAAATTATATACAGAGGATAATTGCTTCGACTCTCTCTTATGAACGCACTAATTTTACTAGGAAGGATAAGTACAGGGCATTGGCTGGAAACGATGGGATTGTGGTGGATATGCCTAAGCTTCAAGCCAACAAGGTCATGGGCTGCTAAAAATGCTGGCATATAGACCGTCTAGTTGAGTTTTCTTTTAGTGGTATACCCAAAAAACGGTTGTAGCGAGAATTTCGTAGACTAGTCCTACTTATTTGATCATCTTGGCCTACTATTTTTGGAAAGATAAACGGACTTGCAAGTATGACACTATGTTTGTACGTTATAAAATAAGTAGTGGGCCAATAAATATTGAGACTTATCGTTAAATCAATGACAATAGTCTAAATGACATAATAATATATTATTTAGAGTCTTTATTGGGACCTAAATGACATGACAACATATTATTTAGAGTTTTTATTAGAGCTCAAATTGCATGGGACTAAATAAAAAAACTCAAATCAATTGTCATATCATTTGAACTTTTAATTTAATTTCAAAATTTAGTCAGTATAATATTATTGTGACAGTAATATTGAGAGCCAACCAATGATATCAATGTTTTCTGTCCCAAAAAAAATAGCTCGTACATGTTTTTCCTTCGTTCTTTGAATTTGGGCTTTATTTTGAGTTGGCCCAAAAAATTAATGACCTTCCATTCCAAGACTTGTTTGATTCTTCAATAATATGACCATTACGTGGCGATGCTGGGCAAGGGGTCCAGTGATTTTTATTGTTTTTTTGAGAAAAAAGACTTATAATTATTTGCCTTTTTTCATGTTAGGGTTTTCATATTTATATTATCATAGTATAGTAGTCCTCGAGTCATCATAAGTGGTCCCTTAATCTGTTAAGAATATTGGAGGAAAAATTGAGCCGTTAGAAATTATATTCTTCTAAACATGACGTGACCTTCTAGAAACATGTAACGTGACACTAATAATTTTATTCTTATTTGAGATATGAAGATGGGCGGTATTCTTCATCTCTCTTCTTATTGTGACCCAAGTTATTTTAATTTAATCGAGATTGTTTGAGAAACTGATGACTTGATTTCGACTTGTGTCTCAGCTGAAATGACTTGTCTTTTTTTATTATTGTTGAGCATAATCATATTTAAAAATGATTTTATTCTTGATAATATCAGCATCAAACACAATATAAATATGATATGATAAAATAGTATATTGATTATATTTTCGGTATGGATTAAATTAGAATTAAACATCCGATCTCATTGTACGTTACACCCGCACCAAACACCTTAAAGTAAAACAAGGCTCGATCAATCTCAGCCACGTATCTCAGTTCTTTTGTATGTGTTCAAAGTCAACAGTGCAGATCTGTTTATATGGATCTAGGCCCATCAAAAGTCCCAATAGCATCAAATGAACTCTATGTCTGGATCTGTGGCCCGAAATCATAACCTGGTTGAAGCCTTGAAGGTTTAAAGTGGTGCCCAAAAACAAACAAAAGTGTTGGTCGCTAAGTCCAACTTGTCACATCAAACTTTTAAGGACTGGCTTTAAGATCCTCAAAACTCAGAAACCAAACCAGCCTTTCGATACAAACAAAGGCTAGAAGAAGACAAAGTCAAAAATTTTGCATGGATTTCCTTTCCTTCCTCGGGTAATTTCATCAATCTTAACCTGGGGTATTTTAACCAAGTGGGTAGCTCAGTTGGCGAGAGCCTATGATTTTTCAGTGAGAGGTCGAGAGTTCGAAGTTTTTTGAGTATAAAAGTGTTATTGTTTGGTAAGACAAAATATCAATTGTTTGGATGAATCGTATCAAAATTTTTTGTGTGGGTCTTGAATCCTTAGCGAAACATAAGTCTTGATTTAAATAGTATATGAGTTGATGGGTCAGTTCATATTTCGGACTTTATCCTTGATTTTATTCAGAGTTACGAGACTGAGCAACATAGGCACACTTCTACTCGCCGAGAACAAACCATGAAATTTCATTGTTTTCGAAAAAATTTCATCAATCTCAACCCCAAGTAACTTATTAGATACGAAACGTAAATTTAGATATTTTAAATTTAATATTTTTTTAAAGATTAAATTACTAGAGATAAATTGATATGTGATTGATATGTGTATAAATTGATTTGAAAATCTTTGGCTGTTAAATAAAAAAAAATTCAACAATCTCATTGTTTGGAAAAAAAATTCAACGAGGGGTGGTGTAGACATTAGAGATTGACCAGACGCTAATTTATGACGCATAAGTTAACTTCAAAAAAAGAATTAATAAAATAATATAAGACAATCAATTATTAAGAATATATAATATTTTATGATATTGTCATTCGGTGGGTTATACACGACTAGTAATATCAGTAATCTCATTATGTTTGGGTTAATTTAAGAATCCGGTGGTCCATTGGGTCATGGGTCTACTTTTTTTTTTTTTTTTTTTTTTTGAGAAAAAAAAAAGGGGTGGGGGCAAGGAAGAACACCCAACGACCACCCCGATAGACCTTCACCAGTGGGATCATAAGGGCCCTGACCATGTCAGGATCATCTCTCGGGACCAAACCTAATTAGACTAGCATAGCGACCAACCACCAAGTCCCAATGGGGACTCCAACACTCAAACTCCCAATCTGAAGGTGAGGAATACGACCGGTACCTCACTAGACCACCCTACTTGGGGGTGGGTCATGGGTCTACTTGACCCATCATGTTGAGGTCCACAGGCTTAGGAGTTGTGGATCATTGATAGTTTTAGTATTGGGAGCTCCGATTGAATGATAGATTTTGTATGAAAGTTCTAGTTTGTATAGGTCTTAGATCCAAATCTAACCAAGACCTTATATGTACATTATATTTGTGTGCAAAAATACACCAATTACAGAGTATATGCAATTATTTGATACAAAAATAGTCATGTATTTTCTTAGGGTGGAGCTATAGAACCTCTTAAGTTAACATCTTTTATACCCACTCCATTAATGACTAAATTTATCTCATTTGTATTCTCCAATTGAACTATTAAATATATATATATATCAAAGGAAACAAAAATAACAATTAAAGAGAAATTTCAATGTTTCAAGATAATTTAGAATATTTCAAGGTGTTTTGAGATATTTTGATATATTTTAATCAATGTCTTCGAAATATTTTGAGGTATTTTTAAGATATTTTAACTAATATTTTAAAAATAAATTATTTATTTTTATTCAGTTTCTAAAATATTTTTGTACTAAAACAATACATTGAATTTTTTTTTGATAATTACTGTGCGTGCTAGATCTTGTATAATATAAAAACGAGAACAGATCTCTCCCTTGGTGAACTCGAGTGAGTCAGTTGGGTGGTCAACCACGCTGCTTGGAACAGCCTGTTAGATCCGGTGGTAACCTGGAACGGTAATGGGAGATCCTCGCGGATCAAAGGAACGATCCAGTAAGGCTAAAGAAAGGTTCCTGGAACAAAGAAAAACAAGTTAGAAGGGCGCCGGAGTGTTTTCCGGCGTATCCCCTCCGACGATCAAGTTAATTTTTGAGAGAGAGGAAGAAGAAAACACTGAGTACNAAAGAAAAACAAGTTAGAAGGGCGCCGAAGTATTTTTCGGCGTATCTCTTCTGACGATCAAGTCAGTTTTGGAGAGAGAGGACGAAGAAAACACTGAGTATAATTTGTAGCAAAAGTTTTACCTCCTTTTTCTTGCCTTTAGTGAGGAGTATTTATACCTCAAACAGTCATGATTGCTATCAGTGTGGTCAGTAGGTGATCATTAGATACAGGCAACGTGCGCACTGATTCCTATGAGGAATGTCTTCTCTCTTAACTGCTCGGGAATCCGAGCAATCAAGACTGTGTTATCGGCCTACCGACGGTTCAATGAGCTCCTTTCGGGGAGGATGCAATAAATGCCCAGCCTTAGAGACATTTATTGCCTTTCACTTCCGAGCCTTACCGCATTGAATGCAGTCTCATCAAGGGAATGGTGTAATTAAATGCTTGTTTTCCCAAGTCGCATGTCAGCAACGTCATGCGGTCTTTCTGTCTCTGATGTGACACAATATGCCACGCGTCCATTTTCTCATTGGCTGTGACCCCTGCCTTTCTGTGCCTTCTGACACCAATTGAGTAAGACGAGGTCATGATAGCTAATCTAGTCTAGCCTAGGCTAGTGACCAGTGCATCAATAGCCTCTGCTGGAGCAGAGAACTTCATCCTAGATGAGGGGGGTACATCTCGGTACCGAGGAATAGGTACATCTCGGAGCTGAGAAAGAGGTACATCTCGGAGCCGAGGAAGAGGTACATCTCGGAGCCGAGGAAGAGGTGCATCTCGGAGCCGAGGAATAGGTACATCTTGAATCCGAGAGGGGGAGGCCTAGCGACCGATGTACCATATCAGACCGAGGGTACGTGTCGGTACATATAAACGTACTGGATGACACTCGATCCCCATGATCAGTACCTCGGGGGAGAGGGCACTTGTGACCCGATGAGTACGTGATCTCGGTAACAAAGATTAATGACACCGAGGACACGTGTCTTCTTCTCGGAATATTTCAGAAATGTTCCATCAACTGCCCCCCAGCCTTTGATCTTCTGACGCCGAGGACACGCGTCGTAAGGAGACGAAGGGTTTTACAACAACCCCAACTGCTTCATCATTGCTTCTAGCCGCTTTCCCCTGTTTAGGACGTCGTGCGCATTAAATGCGCCTTTTCGTGCTTCGCACCCAATGATGGGATAGGTGCTATATATAAATGGGCTCTCTTTTTCTCATTTCATCGTTCTGAACTTTTCTTCACAGAGCCCTTGCCGGAGACTTCGCCGGAGATCCCTTTCCTTCCGTTGTCAACTGTCCAACCATTTCACCGGAGTTTTAAGGCCAACAGACCCATCCTTGCTTCTGAAACATTCTGGAAGGAGTCGCTTCAAATTTCCCAGAAAAAACTTCTTTTTACATTCTGGTGAGTCCCGGTATCTTTCCTCTCTTCGTCCTTCTGTCCCTTTTGATTTTCCGATAACTGGAGGTGTCTCTGGTTGTCACTTAGCGACCAATCCTCGGGAAGCTTCCTTGGGGACTTTCAAGGAAAAAACATCCTCCACTTTCTCACTTTCTTCGAGATGCCTCATCATCGCCCTG